AGCAGTTGTATCAGTGAAGATTTTGATGTAGTGCCAGAAGGATTTAGTTACACATAATACATTTGGGTGTATAACCTCACTCAACAGTTGTATCAGTGAAGATTTTGATGTAGTGCCAGAAGGATTTAGTTACACATAATACATTTGGGTGTATAACCTCACTCAGCAGTTGTATCAGTGAAGATTTTGATGTAGTGCCAGAAGGATTTAGTTACACATTTGGGTGTGTGCAGTTTAAGAACTTTTGAATTGCATAAACTATTTTGCATGACAACATCACAGCAAAAATACTTGTACGGCCAAACGTTGTGAGGTAAAATGATGGTTACAGTATGTCTGGAACTAATAATAGTGCTGTCATGACTTCTGAATGTATATAAAGATTGGTTGTTAGGAAATGAAATTTAAACAATATACAATTCCAATACTACTACTTAACTTGTTATCCTTTGTGGGTACTAATTGTTTAGGATGACCACTGTCAGTCCATCTGTCTGTCCATCCATCCATCCCTCATCAATCAGTGCAAGATGTCAGTTCTGTAGCAGATCGTGAAAACTGGACAATATGTCTCCACTTTACTTGATACACTGACAGGTCTGGAGGTCACCTCGTGCCTTTCGATAGTTTAGGATATTTTATGCAAACATTTTTCAAGTTTCTGTCTACAAGTGCCATGCATTAATTCACAACTAGTATTTACCTATACAGGGGATATTGATGTCCTCTTGTCCATGTTAGAACAGGAATTTGATCAAATATATTTTGTAGATAATGTTTTTAGACAAATAGTTTTGCAGCTAAATATACTAGCTTGATTTCTTGATTTTGCCAATGGCTACCTGGAAGAAAACATGTGTCCATTAAGCTACTTGGTTACAAATTCCACTTTGAAGCTGGGCATGAGGGTGGGTGGTGATGATTAAGGGGTGTGCTTGGCGCCGCTGTATTCCTGCTGTAGTAGGCTACTGTATGCTATGGCATAAAGACTGATTCTTCTTGGCTGTCATGCTTAATGTCAAACTCGGGCTGGTAATCACTGGCTAGTCCTTGAGATAGTCTCTGGCTTTTAAATGCCAAACTGCATCAGCATTAGTTAAAGGAATGCCTTGAGAATGTTGAGCATGTTGAAACAGTTATGTGATGTAAAGCAGGCTAAAACTTGGGGAAGACAGAATAAAATAGTGCTGTGGGGTTTTGTCAGGTCTTGGCCTGCTTCTGTAAAGGAGGGCCATTCAGTAGAGGCCTGGGAATTGTATTGGAGACAGAATATGTTTTCAGGCAATGCATCAAGACATGCAGTTGAATTAAGCAAGGGATTTCAAAGTTAAGAGTTGCCTGTGAAGCATTCTCAACACGTAAGCTGTCAGGGTTGGCAAGCAAAATACAAAAGTGACTTTTTACTTTCACAAGACACACAAGCGTGATATTTTTTATCCTGTAACCATGGTAATATTGTTCTTAAATTCTGTCTTTGAAAAAGGTATTCTTATCTCTGGCAAATGGCATCTCTACTTTGCTGGTACAATGGGCACTACAGTTCCAAATGAGACCTGTTGTCTCAGACAGCAGCATAACTGCCATATTGGTATATTCATACACACAGAAAGTAGTACCTGCCTGTTGATGTACAAAGAATGGAAGGAAAGAAGCAGAGCAATTTAACATGTTAAAGTCTACTCTTTGATGATGATTCAATATCACAGTAAAGATATTCCCACTTAATGCGAGTGAAACAAACAGTGAAACATATTCAGTGAAACAAAAAAATATAAAATATATTCTTTGGCCAGTCTTGACCATACTGACAGTATCACACCAATGACCAGTGACCATGCAGTGTCAAATTAGATATTGAAGAGTGTAGGCTGTTATCTTGCCTGGCTTGGATATATTCCATTTTGCATATTTAGATATGGCTTTGATAAATAACATTCAAATTCAAGTACAACCACTCCTTCATAAATATACAATTCCAGTGATGACACATAACAAACTAAATTCAATTTGATGTACTAAATACGAAAGTGAATCGTGTAACAGTGCCATGTGACACAACTGAATTTCTCTGCACTCAGGCTTTGGACTTGGTTTAAGTTTCAGACTGCTAATAGGACTAAGTTTGTAGGAGCTGCTTGTAAAGATTAAATACAAATTGGTCTAGAATTTTCTATATGAAGGGGTGGAGGTGCTTATTGGAGCAGGGCACTAAATGTGACAAAGAAGTAACGTGATATGTGCTGTAGACCTCTTCTTGTTACTGCTGATTTTATTGGCTGAAGTGACCTCATGGAGGGACCCTGTTGTGTAGTCTGATTGTGAGTTCCAGCTGCCTCTGTTTATAGCACATGGTACAGTCACTAGTCTTGTTGATAACACTATGCTACACATGTCTCATGTTGTCATGGTAATTGGATGTACTTCTAACATTAGTAAGTGACAGAAATTTACACCTAAGCTTCGGGTCACTACTCATCCAGTCTCCTCAGCCAAAATTATTAGCAGGACCTGACCAAAGCTTGAACCCTACCCAACCTTCCAAGAATTCTTCAGTCTTACTGTTCCTCCAGATGTTTGTTAGACTTTTTGTTGTTTCATTTCAAAAGAAAACATTTGAAAGCGCTTCTCTATCAAAATAGGCAGTTTGAAACATTGACTTCACTCAATAGACAATGTGAAATACTGCTGTTTACCAACTGTATACACAGTGTAGACAAATTTTTGTGGAATACTTAAAAAATATCTCAGTCCGGCCTCATGTCGGGTCAATTTTAGCAAACCAATGACATATATATAATGATTATAACCTTTTGAATATACAGGCTGATTTTGGCAAGCCAGACAGAGATTTTCTACATCTTTCCTGGTATACACTGTCAAGCTTAGAAGATCATCATGATCAGAGTGATGACATTGGCAGACCTGTAATACAGGGACTTTACCCCATTCCGTGAATATATATTGACTGACGGAAGACATTGCATGTTCAATTACCAAGCAAATCATCCAGTATGAACACAACCAGTCCAGAACCATGTAAATCAGGTTCTGTGTACATCATCTGTCCTGTCCACATGACCTGTCTAGAACTGAACAATAGATGGTTGCTGTTGGTAACCAACTAGTGATGACCGTATTTGATTGATAAATAGTGTCTCTATTAAAGGTCTTAGTCAAGTAATGAATGTCACCCCAATCAGTTTATATTCATGATGTTTGGAATTACATAACTAACATCTGGGACTTGTCTTGGAAGACAACATCGCAAACTCAGAATAGGTTTTGAGCAAATTTTGTGTTTGGATAGTCCATCATGAAAGGGAGATCTGATAACCTGTATTGACAAGGTGAAAGGTCTTATACTATCAGCTATTCCTTCCTATAAAATGCTGCTTGTAAATATATCTCATGTACACATGGTCAAGTCAGGTGAAGACAGTATGTGCCTAGCAAGTGAAAACCATTAGTCACTAGATCCTTTTAAGAGGTTGTTAAGTCACTGAAATATCGAGGTCATTGAGCCATTAAGAATATGGAGGTTCTTTTGCCACTGAAATATCGAGGTTTGTCTTACATTGAAACTAAAACTCTCAGTGTAAGTATTTAGATGTTATCCTATTCATCACATAAAGAGGATATTAAGCCAGTGAAATGTGGAGTTAATTCAGCCATCTAAATCAAACAAACATTCTATTGTTCATACAAAACTTAAAAAAAAACATCTATAATATTCATGTATGGGAATGTTAACATCCCCTGACATACAATGATTTCCGTTGAAAGTTCTTAGAACTGCCATCATCACAGCACCTGCCTCTTTCAATAAGGCAAGACTTTTTCTTAATCAATTTTGTTTTAGCAGTTTTGATGATGAAACATTTTTTCAGTCAGTATGTCCCCCAAAATAAATGAAAGGCATTGTAAATATTTTTTTAAATCTTGGCCTGGTTTGTTGTCATTGTAAATACTATACACCTTAGTGCCATTTCGTTTATTATTTACCATTGGAAAATTTGTTTTTGTCATAAAAACTACCTAGGATTATATATATTGTCAAAGCAATCTGAGGTTGGCAGAATACAAATTCTCGTCATATTGATATTGTTTTCATTTTCCACATTTTCGATTTTTAAGGTTGACAGATCCACAGTTTAAACAGATAGAATGAAAGGCCTTGTACCACTTCTTTCAAATTATGCAAATGATAAAACCTATATTTGATGGCATCAGAAAATGCTGAAGATATGGCCTCAGCTGCAGATATCAGCAACCTTGTGACAGTAATAGCATTTATATGTATAACGAACAAATACCAACTCCATTATTGATGGGAGCCATTCTACGTCTAATGGAGGCAATAATCAGTGACTGCCATTGTACTGTTCTCTACAAGACGAGTCATCATGGGAGAGCCAACAAATAGTTACATCTTCACTCATGTATGCAGAGACAGATATGAATACCTATGTATTAGATTGTAAACTATGAACCATATACTGGAAGGTGACTGACTACCACTTGAAGATTTAAGACAAGTGCACTGTTGTCAAAATTCTACTGGTTATTTGCTTTGGTCATCATGACTTTCTTTTCTAAAGAAGGGGTCAGAATTATCTATCAGAATTGTCATTACATAAACAGTACATGTATTGTAGCATTATCAGTCATCCAAAACATGGAATATTTCAGATTCATTATAAGCTGCTTGTATATATATATACCGAATTTGCATTGATGTTCCCGTGTGGGGCTTAGTCAAACTGCTATTACTGCTTTGAGACTACTGGAGTCCAAGAGATTCAAGATAAACTGTTGTTAATAAAAAGGTTCTTCAGCTCCAACTACATAGAACGTACATGCCTTCAAAGAGATGCATATCTACTCTCCTGCCATGAACTTCTCAAATATATTTCGATCTATGTGGTTTACTCGTAGAGAATTACTTCAGAGAGCATGCATTATTCACTCACCCGTCTCCAAGCATTGATTGAAATTAACAAACGACGATTCGACGAACTCCGAGGCATTTGGTGTAAATCGTGGAATTTGCCATCTCCAACAGGTACAGCCATTTCATACTCACCGGTATGAAATACACATCTGTCAATTAAAAGTCAACGAGCAAGTTGCCAATAACAAATCAATATCCACCCCCTGAGGCGGTACCGACATAAGTGACATCATTGCTGTAGCCTTGCAACACACCAGTCTTTTAAACCAAACTGTTGTGTGGAGTGTGGTGTCCTTCGAATATCCTGGATAACACTGAAATTGATCTATGTTGCACATTTAGTTGGTTGGTCTGTGCAATCTAACGATGCTGTCAGTGGGCAAAGGGATAACGATTCGTGGCTTTCTGTGGGGAGATTAACACAAGACTAAGGATCAATACCTCCCGAGACAAAGCTGTCGGTGTTGGAAGGAGGGTCAGTTGTTTGCATCTCCAGCCGATGGTAGTCCACTGCACCCTGGAGAGACTGGCCTGAATATATGGGTCTTCCTTGCCCCCAAGCTGCAGCCAGTGGTGGCTAACACTAGCCGAATAGTTAATATCGAAACTGAGTGAAAGGCACTTCTCTTTGAGTTGTGGAGGTCTTAGTCAGTTCCTCAGCAATCACAGATGAGGAGGAAGATGGGAAACGTGTTGGATGTACAGTCATTACCTGACGATGCTCTGGTCAAAAAGGTACTGCTCTTACTTATCTTTCTTACATGTTGACTGTGAGGTGAAGGTAACATGGCTGGATGCTCAGGGTGTGGTGACATAGGGTGGTCGGTGTTGGTGTTGAGAATAATCTGAGCTGTTTACTATTCTTATGTTCCTTCATGATGTTATTGAAATGATTGTAGTATATTGTTGGTATCAGTTTCCAGAAACCCTTGTTCTCTGAGGACATTGTCTGGGGACTGGATTGGAATGTAGATTAGTGCCTAATGGATTATGTATAGTGGACTTGATGCTGCATGCTCAAGTAGAATAAGTAGTACTGAATATTTACAGGAATCAGGGCCTTTGCCAAAACGCAAATGTTAAAACAGCTTATTTGGGGGATATATTAATTAAAGCTCTTTCAAACCCCAAGAACTTAATTCCTTCTTTCATTAACACTCAAGCTATATTTAATAGGAATTTTGTAATGTCAATACTTGACAAAATGCAGTGCAGCAAATCTTGTAGCACTTGATATTGAAATTCATCAATACCACAATGCCTTGTTGCAGTTCTACTTGTATATTCATTAGGTTGTCTACCAGGTCACCTGATGTTTCAGTATAGGAAGCAGTCCAAAGAACTTCACTTGGATGTACGTCTGCTGCTATATTAAAATCTTGTTTCGTTTCGAAATAACTTCAGTGAAGTTGATCAGGGACTTTATGCCAAGGACAGCCTTCATGGTCTAGTGGGTAGATTTAAAGGTCATGGGTTGAATCCCAAGATGTCAAAAGATAGAACTTTTCACCTGAGTCTGCTGGAGATAAGATAAGGTCAGGTTGGCTTGAGTCTATACATATCCATGTTAAACTGTGACATGGTATAACAGGGGCCTGCCACTAAGAAACCAGAATTGGTTGTGCTTTTACAAGTACACACACACACACAAAATGTCAGCATTCTGAAATCTGACTAGCTCTGACTATTTTATACACACAAAGTTGCCTACATGTTTTGTTGTTTTGGTAACCTATTTTTTTGTGTATTTGTTCAGTCTATACTGGCTGGTAAAGGAGGAGACTCAAGGCAACAGTCATTATTGCCATATTGCTTCACAGAACACATCCCCATGAACAATCTTAGAATTGGACGTCAGCGACAAGTGCTTGTTTTGAGAGGCGACTAACGGGACTGAGTGGTCTGTCTTGCGGACTTGATAATACATGTATTCATATCTACATTGCCCAGATTAGTATGTCAATCACTGCATTGTCTGACTCATTTCTTTTCAGACCGCTGTCATATGGACATATGTTTGCGGAATACTGCATTGATTGTGATTGATACATTAAAATATGAAGGTGTAAGTCTCACATTGTGTTAAATATGAAGATGTCCAAAAGTGAAATGTTCTGGGTCAGACTCCGATTATCGCTACAGGATATGGCTGAATTCAGAATTAAATTTACATTTATGATAAAGCAACAATAAACATGATGTGATAGTGAATGTAGTCCACTTGTTGAGATTAATGGGTAACCTACCCTAATTAACATGCCTTTAAGTCTGACATAGAAATTATGGTCTCTGACAATGGTGTTATGTATTGTAATTTCACCATCAGAATCATATTTTTGTAGTGCTAAATATGTAGGGAGTATCGCTTAGCTGTTTTAGTCATGAAAAGACCTGGGGCGGTGGGGTAACCTAGTGGTTAAGGCCCATTTCTGATTTCCTCCATCAGCTTGAATATTGCTGATCCCGGGTTAGTATTGGTCTTCAGTAACCCATGATTGTCGTAAGAGGCGACTAACGGCATCGGCCGGTCAGGCTCGCTGACTTGACACGTGTCATCATAGCCCATTTACGTAGATTGATGCTCATGCTGTTGATCACTGGATTGCCTGATCCAGACTCGATTATTTACAAACCGCTGCCATATATCTGTAATATTGCTGATTGTGTAAAACTTCACTCACTCACTCACTTGAATATTGATAAACCATGCTCACTCACTCACAAATGTGATTTTAGTAGCCTCTGATAATACTGTAATTATTAAGCAGTGTGGAATTCATGTAGGTGTGTCATCAATGCCAGTTTCCTATGAAACACGACATGGTTATGTTTGATGGTGAGACAAACATCATCTCTGGATGCAGCAAAGATCATTAGACCTGAAACAAGTCATCGTTGACAGCAACCATTACAAGTTGCTAAATTAAGGGATTAGCTTTAGCTGTTTAATCATTGATTTTCTGTATACCCGACTACTCCATGTGTAAAGTCCATTGTCAGGTGGTCAAAATATCAGTATAAGTACATCTATTGAGACCATCCTAGGTGACCCACTTGGGTTTGGCAATCATATGGCTGTTACTAATAACAAGGATGGACTGTTGACACTCTCAAGGGAGACAATACACTTTGAGATTCGTGTTTCCATTTAACCAGACTCACTGAAGAGCGATTTTTTTTGTAATGTTTCATTTTGCTTAATTTTTTCAGTTCATTTACCTTATTGCTTTGGGTTGGAAAGTTTCAGAATTTATCTCTTTCACTAAATTAAATATTTACATATCAATTAAAGAAAAGCCGAGTTGTTCAGTGATATAATCAAGAGACGATAAGTGGCATCACATTGGAGCGTTGTCATATCTTAACAAATACGGGAACTAACCGCCTGTATCATTAACAACAGTGCTGAAACCATTTGTGTCAAATAGGCTTGTTTTGCAACAAAAGGTTACCACAACAATGATTTGTGGTCTTCACTAGATGTTTGGAGATCGATAGACTGACATATGACTCATGATGATCCTCAACAATATATCTTCCTCCTGTCAGTTTTAATGAAGCATAAAGCCTCAAGAGAGGTATTGCTATGGTTCTGGCATGAAACTGGTGAGCCTTAGGGTCAAGATTGGTCAGAGAAAGATTTTCGATCAAAAAGTCTTTACTAATAACCATATTTCCTTCATTTGCCACAGGATGTGACGCGTATGTCCTTCTTGAGGAGGTTAGCAGGGGGGATCTCAAATTTGAAACACCAATTGGATTTCTCAGCGCTCTTCATGTGTCAGTCCTAGTGGTATTCAGCTGGTTAATAGACCATCACTTTCTCAACCACCTCTGAATTTGATAGAGAAACTCCTGCCATTTGTTCACTTGCAGGGATGATAATGATGCTCAAAGGTTATGGGTAATATGAGAACTAGTTTAGATCATCCTCAAGTTTGAATATTTAATAGTGTGTTTCTGGCTGGATGGAGAGAATTGCAGGAATTAGAACTCAATTTTAACCAGTACATGCTTCTATAATAATTAAAGACAGTTTTGCATGTGAAAAATCTGTGAAAGATGTACTCAAAAGGCGTGATGGATAAACAATAGTGATATGAAACAATATGGTGTTCCTTTACTTCCTTTGAGCGGCATGTTTTCTCACCACATGCCACGCAGATCATAACAGCTTGAACAAAACACTTTAGATCCAGTTTGTTGAAGCCTATTCTTTAGCTTGATGTTCTTTTGATTCCACTCATATATCTTTCATGGGTGAAGCTTTGTGTATCAAAGACAGGGACAGAGGCTTGCAGGGGCTTGTTCAAACCACTCCTATTCTTCCCGAGATTGGCAGCAATTATCTGTAAAAATTCACAATAGGGAACAAACAGAACAAGAAATGGCTTGGTCAAGGTGACCGAAAGCTGAAAACAAAACCAAATGACAGGAAGGGTCTTAATTTTCTCAGTTTGTGTTGATGTAATGTTGGACTCCTCTGAAAATATGTCAAACACCTGGGGTTCAGGCCACTGTCAAATGCTCGAATTTTCCTAACCGTAACATGAAACAACAAACAGCTCTTTTTTGTCACCAATAAAGTTGAGGTATTAGAAATACAGAAGACAGTAAGCTCTTTTCTCTGAATGTGGCTGTTAGATGTGCCAAGATTGAACAGTTAAAATATGAAGTATCTGAACAAGCAAAGAATCATCAAAGGCAAACAACTTTACAAGAAATTTACTAAGTTCAGTATAAATAATGTTAGATTAAGTTACCTTACAATTTAAGAACTGAGATGAATAAAAACAAGCCTACGTAGACAATGTTTTTTCAGACATGAAGATCAGTTCATAGATAAAATAACACATCAAGGTAGAAAATAATTATTTCCAATGTTGATGCTGACATGTGATATTTCGTGATCACATATGAAATTAACATTATAGCAAATGCATATCCTCCTATAAACACAGCAGGACCTGATGACATACCTTGTATCCATGGCAATATCAGATAACCTTGAAATATTCATCAAAAGCTTTAGCATTTGTTCTCTAGCACGGGGACTGTATATAAACAACTGGTTTCCATGACGACTGGGATGATAATTATTATGAAAGATCTGAAGTGGCATTTGAGACCCAGGTATCAGATGAAGGTCTCCTTTGCCGCCATACAGGTGATTATTATACCACAGGAGGGCCAGGCATGAATGTAATGGCCATCTGCTCTGTAGTAGGCAGAGCCTGGTATAATTATGTTTGGTCTAGAAGATGAGTTAATATGCAATGATAACTGTAAAATATACATAATGTATATTTAGAGCAGAGACACATGCAAAATTAAATGGGATAGGGTGTTCTTGTGTGCCCGTGATACCTAAAAGTAACAAGGTAAGCGAGTATGGTTTTATGCCACTTTTAACAATATTCCAACAATATTGTGGCGGGGGGCACCAGATATGGGCTTCACACTTTGTACCCATGTGGGGAATCAAACCTGGGTCTTTGGTGTGATGAGGGAACGCTTTAACCACAACCCCAAAAGTAACAAAGCCTGAGGCAAAGTTATAATGTAAGCTGTCAGGGGACGATGGGACATAAAGGGGATTGGATCTGCCGATGAAGAGCCAGATCTGGCCCCGATTTCTCGAAACAAACTTAAGTTTTTGCTCAAATTTCAAACTGAGTTTGACAATTTGAAACAGCTGAATTTTTAACTCAACTGCATTTTTTAGATAAAAAAAG